TTTTTACATTCTGGTCTTTTTGAAACAATTCACTTTATCAATGCATTAGTATATTTTACTATACAATATAGTTCTATTAATAAAACATTTTTAGTTTTTTTGAAACAAAATAGTTAAACACTACATTACACTGAGATTTCTACACTTTGTTATTGTATTATAGTTCTTCATAATTTATTATATCAAATGGTAAAAAAATAACAACATTATAACTTTTCAATATACATTGTAGTTCCAATAACTGATTATTACCAGTTTATATCCATAGTGGTGCTTTATAATGTAATTCATAATCTTCAATTCCATCACCAAATATCTGCGACAACAAAACATACTTATAATTAATTATTTATACTATTATATAAAATGTAATAACAAATTTTAATTTTTGTTATTGAATTGTTATTAATTAAAATTTAATAATAAAAGAATTAATAAACTCAAATTAAAAGGATCATGACGGCGACAAACAGCGCCACAGTAATTTCCCAAGCATTTTTTGTTATGATCACAATTCGGTTTAAGTCATTTTCTTATTATTTCAAAAAATAAATAATAAAAATCTTAATATTTTTTTTGTTGTATTACAAATAACTATAAAACACAAAAACGGTTGTTGTTTTTTAAATTAAAACATAATTAAATAGTTTTTTGTGGATATAATTATTGATAATAATAGATATAATTATTAATAATACACAAATTTTAATCAACAACACTGTAACAAGTAAATATGAGTCATCATTTACTAAAAAAACAAAAAATGCCTTAAATAGGGGTGGAATACAGTTGTAAAGCTTCAATGACTTGATCAATCTTTATGCGTTCTTTTCCTTCGAAACACCACATTCTGTTCAGTAAGGCATAAATCGTATTGTCAAGACATTCGGCTTGGGCCAAATGCTTTCCTGATGCAACAAAATCTGCTATGGACCATGCAAACTTGAAATTTTCAATGGGATATGGTTCTTTCCATGTAAAGCATTCATACATACTGATTGCAAAGGAAAAGATATCACTTGGCATCTTGTACTTCTCTTTATTTAACACTTCAGGTGACATGTACTTTGGTGTGCCGATTCCCTTTGTGAAGGTCATGTTTGTCATTAACATATTAGTATTTCTCGCACTTCCAAAATCAGTCATTTTTGCATTAACTGTTGTTCCCAAGTCCATTGAAAAAACGAGTAAATTGTCTGGCTTGATGTCTCTGTGGACTATGCCATTGTTGTGTAAATAACTAATTCCCTTTGCCATGTCTAACATGAATTTCACCTTGACTGCCATGCAAGGCGATTGTTCTCTTTTCTTCTTCATCAAGTCATTTAAACTACCATATTCAGCGAATTCTGTGACCATACAAATTCTGTTTGGAATAAATACAGCTCCATAGAAGTGAACTAAATACTCACACCTGAATTTGTCCAACATTGAAACCTCCTTTTCAAATTCATGAACTTTCGCTTCGTCATTACACCCTTCTCGCAATTTCTTGATCGCAACTTTGTGTCCTCTGAACTCACCCAAATAAACAATTCCAAATGAACCCTCTCCAAGCTTTTTCTCTTCTTTTAACTCGTGGTAATCAAGTCGTGTTGTCATTTGTGTCTTCGCGTTGATTGTGATATTTTCTGTCATTTCAACACCTTTTTTAATATCAAGACCAACACAAACAATCTTCTCCTTGATGATACAAGAGCAAAGCGGCGTTATAAATATTTCAAATTCACAGGCTTCCCCACTCTTCAAATTCACCAAAGCGGGTTCTGTGCGAATTGTGTAGTAATCACACCCTTTCATCACACAGAATTGAATTTTCATTGGATTTTTAGATTTGTTCCCAACACACAACAATTCGCGAGTTTCTTTGTTGACAGGGATTTCATTATTTGCATTGTTTTCATCAATGAATATTATTTTTTCTTTGTTAGACACAAGCCAGTCGTTCACTTTTTCAAATATGACATTGGAGCGCTTCATTTTAAATACACAAACGTTCAACATTTTCTTCTCCTCTTTGTTGTGTAAATACAACAAGTATATTCCAACAATTGACAACGCTATTAAAGTGACTATTATTATCACAAACACAACCGGAAGACCAATGGCCAATCCCAAATTCACTTTGTTTGAACAAGAAAGACCATCATCACTCGGCTTCTTGCCTTCGACACACATTGAACACAACCCTCTTTTCGCTTCAATACAAAACTCGATTTGAGAAAAATGAACACAATTCGAGTTGATGTACACATTCTCGTTTTGACATTCGTTGCATGTGTATTGGTTTAAACATAAAGAGCAGTTGTTCATACACGTTTTGCAACGAGGGACATTGGAGTCAATGTAATACCCATTATCACATTTCTTACACCCAAACGGTGTTTTTTCTAAACACCCAACCAAACTTGAATAATTTTGACACACCAACGATTCTGATGGTATTAAAAAGAATTCCGGTTTACATGTTATACAGGAATTGAGATCTTTACAAACAGCACACGAATAGTGGCAAGCATCACAATCACTTTGTTTTCTGTAATACCCTTCTTGGCAAATTGCACACCCAACCATGTTTGGCATTTCTTTTTTACACTTGAGGAAAAAGTCTTCTGTTGATTCACATTTGTTGTCTTTATTCAAGAACTCCAATGTGGGACGGCAAGACAAACAATAAGTTGCATTGAAACATGTTGTACAACCATTATCACATTTGTGGCAAGTACCATCGGATCTGTAATATCCATTAAAACAGGTAATACACCCTTTTGTTGTTTTAATTTTACATCCATCGCTTGCATTTTCATCTCGTTTAAGTTGGTTAATATCTATGCAAGATCCATTGATTAAAACAAATCCTTCATTGCATTCAAATGCAACGGGTGTTTTAACAGAAATAGATTTCATTGCGTATTTGATGTTGTTGCCTATTACTTCACAATATTCTGCTTTAACAATAATCTCGTCAACTCGCATGAATGATATTTCACACTTCAAACATTTATTTAAGTGCGATTTTTGACAACTGAAATATTCTTTTGTTTTACATTCGTTAGTTGTTGTTAAAAGATATTCTTCCACACAAACAATACATTTGTCGTTTTTACAAAATGAACATTTTTCCACAACACAATTTTTGCAAGTGTTTTCAATAATTGAATCTCTGTTTGAAACGCAACTCACACAATCGTTGCCATCAATTGATTCACATTTATCATTAATAAAACACTTATCTTCTTTTATGTTAATTACAAATGAATTATCACATTGAATTCCGTGTATTTTTGAATTTACCATTTTACATTTGACACCGCTTGTTTGATCATCTTGACATTCATGACACGAATTGTTATTATCAAGATATTGGCTTTCCTTACATTTAAATATAACATTGTTGTCATACAAATAATCTTTGTTGTTCTCTTCACATATTCCATTTAAGTTAACGTTAGAATGTCTGTTACATTGAATACATTTTGTTGATGTTTTATCTTTGTGATAATATTTACAAATTGACTCCTCGCAGTTCCCTGTTGTTGTTATTCCATTCTCGCAATCTTCACATGTGTTTTTCGAGTTTGTTTTGCACAATTCTTTGTGTTCAAAAGGTTCACACATTTTATTTTGTAAATAAAATTCATTTTGACATTTAAGGCATTCGTTTTGTCCGTTTTGAATTTCACAATTGTTGTTGTTAGTTGCACATCCGTTTCCAATAAAAGTTGTATTAATTCCACATTTGATACAATTTCCATTAACAGTTACAAATGGTGGGAAACACTCTTCACATCTTATTCCAAAATTTATTATATTTCGACACAATTTACAATTGGTTGAATATTTATAACATTCATCACAAGTGCTCGAAGTGTTTTGGTAAAGGTGGCTTGGGCATTCACAAAAACTGTTATTGACAATGAACCTATCTCCACAAGAAGTACACTGATTTTTGTTGGTTTGGCTACAAGTTAAACAATTTGGAATTGTATCACACGGAGAACAACGTTTTTCATCTGGAAAATACCCAAAAATGCATTTTTGACATCCATTCACAGCATCACATGTGTTATTTTCACAATTTTCATCACACAAAACACATCGAGTGTTGTCCAAAAAAGTTCCTTCATTACACGAAGTACAATTTATTTTTGTATTCCCACAAGTTTTACAAGTTGTATCACATTTTTCACAATCAAACCCCGTTTGATAATAAGAATCTTCACATTCATAACATCCTGTTTCATTACCACAAAACCCTTGTTTGCAATTCTTGCATTCAATACAAGTTGTTTCAATTATATGTGCCAAACCATCAATACAACTTCCACAATTATTATTACCACTGTTATAACACGTAAGACATGGGCTGTCACATTTATTGCATTTCCCCAAACTCGGATAATAACCCGATATACATTCTTGGCATCCTGTAAATGGACTACATTTTCCTTTGACACAATTAGAATCACATTCAACACATTCATTTCCAACAATATAAGCAACTCCTTCTGTACAATTAATACATTGTGTGGAAAGTGGACCATAACAATTTAAGCATTTGTTGTCACAACGACTACATCTTTTATCATTAATATAATAATTATCATTACAAGAGATACATCCAAGTGTTGTACTACATTGCCCCGATTTACACTTGTCGTCACATTTAATACAAGTATTTCCAGAGATATAACTACCATCGAAACAAGAAGAACACTGTAAAATATTATTATCACAGTTTTTACAGTTGTTAATAATACATCCCAAACACGAACTATTATTTGAAAATAACCCATGTCCATCATTACATTCAGAACATGAATTAAAAAATGAATTCGAACATTTTTTGCAGTTAACAATGTTACACAGAAAGGAGTCAGTATCATTGTTTATTATTTTTGCTTTTAATTTATATTCAAAATTGTTTTTATCAAAAATAACAACAAATTGTTTGACCGTTCCAACAGAAACGATCAAAGATGTATTCTTGTTACATTCAAAAATTGTAACTGAATCATTTTCGGGGATAAAAATTGAATTATTTTCATCACTCCACATTATTATTGAACATTTTTCCCATTCATCTCTACAAAATATTTTATCAGCTTCTTTACACCATTTAAGAGCTAAAGAAGTAATTACAAAAAGAATGATCAACATGAAAATATCAATTTTAATTTTGAGTTACTTTTTTATTAAAAAAGACACATTTACTTTGATTATTTGGTTTAATAACAAGAGCACAATTATTATTTTGAAGTACTTTTAGATATTTCTTTGTTGATTTAAAATAACTATGTAAATTTTAATAAAAATTTGATTATTAAAATTTTAGAATTAAAAATAAAAAAAACTGTGATGTGTTATAAAACAAAAACATTATTTATTTCGAATTGTGAAGTTTATTAAAAAACATCACATTGTAATCAACATAAATGTAAAATAATATCAATCAAATTTTATTATTTTATATTCTTTCAACAATCTAATAAATTGATTACAAAAGTACTTATCCAAACATACAACTATTATTTAAAATATTGAAATTTCAACATTTTTAAAAATTTCATAAAAACACCTGAACATATTAAAAGTTTGTGTTTGTTGTATTTGTAAACATAATAAAATTTTATAGTGAATTGTTATTGATTTTACATTTTTGATTTTCTTGATATATTCTAATAATTATAATAACCACAACATACTTTTTTATTTACTATATTATATACAATTATTTGTTAAATGTTTAATGTCGTTAAATAACATTTATATATAATTTAATTTAATTATCACAAACAAAAGATTTAAAATGTATTAATTTATAATGAATGATTATTTAGACTTAAATAATGTATCTCAGATAACTTTTTTTAAAAAAAATCTTTTTATTTATAAAAAAATAAGAGTCATTATTCAAAATTTCAATTTTCAAGTAAAAAAACTACATTTATTATATGAAATCAACACCACACAAAAGTTTTAAAAAACAGAACAGAATGCCCAAGAATAAATCTACTGTTCCAACTCTCGACGTCACCCCAGACCAAACCAAAGAAGAAAGCTCGTATTACGATGAAATGTCAACTGATTACAACCCAAGACAATTTCTTTCAATAAATGAATTGAAAGAACAACTCAGAGTAAGTGATTTATACAAAAATGCTGAAAATGTGACATTTACTCTTCCCGTCTCTACACTTTTTGTTGAGCACTTTTTCGATTGCATCTGTGATGGTTATAATTTCAATATTTGGATCTTTCCTGGCATCACATTGGGTCTACCATTTCCGTATATAGTCTACGACAAACAGAATCGTATCATAAAAGTGTTCAATGTAGTTTTAGACATCCAAATCACAAAATTCATTTGGAGAACAAAATATAATATCAACAAACGTTTGCTCATCTGGGACAGATACGCTGGAATAACACTTTATACTTCTTTACATAACTTGGAAGGCAATTTGGTGCAAGTCAGATTGACAGTTAAAAATGGAGAGACGATTAAATTGAGTAATATGGGGCTTTTAAATCCGGAGACTGAAACTCATGGAAAACTCACGTTTTTTATTGAAATAGTCGAGAAGGACAAATGCGATTTTAAGAGTGAAAAGGTTTTATATGAAGATCTTGAAAATGAGAAAATAAAGCAACTCAAAAAGTGTGCAAAAAGTGTAAGAGCGACATTTCCATTTGTGTTGTTACTAACTGGAGGGACTTTCATGTACATGAGCAAGTCAATTACTGTGCAAAGAGGCGGTCCTCTAACGTTTATTCAAGACATACAAATATTCCAAAGGAAGAAAGCCGTTATAATAACAGAAACGCGTCGTTTCTATCATGTCACTTTTGCTGCTGAAGGGGCTGAAAAGTTTTATATGGATGGAGGAGTTCTTGTAAGGAAAATTTGTGTTTATTGTGATTTCAAATATGAAAAATGTTGTTTGTACATTGATACGTACAATGATAAAGGGGTTATATTTACTGGTATTTTGGATGAAACAAGAACGTTATATTCTGGTTTGGGTTTACCATTACCAAATGATCCATACGGGAAATGTGGTGATTTGGGTGTTGAATTTAAATTTGTGAATTCAGATGTTAGACTACCTGAGTGGGATATGAATATTTGTGATCAACTGTGTCAAAATGAATACAGAAAACGTCTTTACAACAAACACGAAAATTTGCTCAGAACATTTCGAAAAATACAAACTGAAGCAGAACAACAAGAAAATAATGAAGATAATTATGATGAAAAAAATGAAGTTAACGAAGAAAATGTAAAGAAAAATGATGATAAAGAAACTTTAAATCAAGAAAAATTAAAAGAAAAAAGTGATGAGGAAGAAAGTGAAGAAATTATTGACGCACAAAATGAAAAGTTGAAAATGAAAAAGAAGACGTGATCGATGTACATAATTCAGATGATGAAAAATCATCAAAAAGTGATGAATTGATAAATTACACAAATGATGAGGAAAAGAAAAAAGAAGTCACAACAAAAATTGAAACAACTGAGGAACTTGAGTCAATTAATGAAATTGACAAAAAAGAAATGGAAAAGGAAAATACAAAAGTTTACAATGAACAAATAATAGAAAGTGATGATCAAAAACAAAACGAAATTGTAACAGAAATTGAAACATTTCAAAATATCGAGTCACCCAATCATGTTGAAAATATAAAAGAAAAAGAAGTTGTTGTACAGAGTGATGAATATCAAAAACAAACATTTGAAAAGGAAGAACCAAAAGAAGAAACAACTGAAGAACCGCTTTATGATAAAAATGAAAATATGAAGTCTACCAAATTTAGAAGGAATGAAAACAAATCGAAGAAAAAATCAAAAAAAGAAAAGAACAAAAACAACAAGCAAAAAAAGCAAAACAACTTACAAAAACTTACAAAAACCACAACAAGTGTAGCCGAGGAAATTTCTTCGATGCCATGCAATTCATTGGAAGAACAGAAACAAATCGAACGACCAATTTCGAACAATAAACGAAATTGGATCGTTATAGTTGGGTGTTTAATTTTTGTTTTAATGACGATAATTGCAGTAGTAGATTCTAGTGATGATGAAAAGATTCGAGTCGCTACTTATTATTTTAAATCGAAAATGAACAATTTCGTTTCACTCGAACTCAAGAAAATGGTATGTAAAAGCTTTGATTTAAAGAATAATAGCTTTGGTATTGAATGTGAATATCTATTGTGATCGTTTAAGTTGTTCTGTGGTATTATATTTGTCTGAAAATGATCCATTTTTATTTTTATTAATTCAAATTACAAAAAGAACATGATAGATTTTGGATTTATATTTTATCATTTTATTATCATTTAAGCATAAATATTTTGTATTACCCAATTGCGTATTGGTATTATTATAAATTCTATTTTTTAGTTGTTATGATAATAATAAATATTACACATAAAGTTATCATTTAGTTAGTTATATATTTTGTTGTAATAATAATTACAACAAAATATGAAACGAAGTAATTTTCAACATAATGATTGTATTCAATTGATTTGTATATAAATATAGATATATGAAATAATTAATATTGTATGATAAAAGTAACTTAAAAATAAATATCAAATAAAATTAAATAAATGTTAGAATTATTGTTGTGAACCACTTGTTGTACAACAATTGGTTTGACATTTGTTTGCGTTTGTTCAGTCATTCGTTTTTCTAAGACTTGTTATTTTGTACAAATTTAGTGTAATCGCAAAGTTTTTGCGTGTTTGTTGTTTGGCACATTAATCATTGATTGTGTTATCAGTGTATCTATGCCTGCATATTTTTAAATAGTACTGTTTATTCCACACTTGTTTCATTTTGATGTCCAATGAACTCCATTTAAAATGATTTATTAGTTTGTTATAACAAACATATCATTCCTTTACCACCCTCACCTGTTTATTAACACTTAAAATAAAGCCCTTATTTTTTAGTTGACCTGTTTTTACAGGGATTTTAATCCAATTTTTTATTATTATCCTTTTTTGGCTTGTGTATTATCTACATAATATAAACACTAAAAATTGAAATTTATTTAATAAACTCGAAATTTCCCGATTTTTAGACCACTTGAATTTTGTTCAATGTTATTTAAAGTGTTAAGCAAATTATTTTAAACGTTTCGTAAACAACATAAGTTTATATGTTTTATTATTTTTTCCTATAATTTTAGCAAAAAAATATTTTGTAAAATGAATGATTATTTATTATTTATTATTATTTATTAATTTTATTCAAAAAAATAAAATGACAATTTTTCAAAAAAATCCAATTCTATAACTTTTGAAGCTGATTTTTAGATTAATTGATTATTAATAAAATGTTAATTTATTTATTGATAAAAAACAATTTTTCGACTATAAAAAATAATATCCATTTGTCAATTATATCTAAAAATAAACAGAAATTCAATCTATAAATAACTTGTTGAATTTAAAATAAAAATACATTCCTGAGACTTATTTTGTTGTGTTACTTGTTTGTAATAATTAATAAAAATATGACTGTATTATAATAAATGGTGTTATTGATTAATGATTTTTGTACAACAGAAATATAATCTATGTAATTGTAATAATAGGGTTGTGTTAAGGTACTAATTAATTGTTTTAATTAATAAGTAAAGTGACTTCCCCAAGGTGTGCAAGTTAAAATTTTTAGTCTTTTTTACAGGGAAAGGGCGTGCAAGACTAAATTTTAGTTAAAAACATTTTATTTAAAAAAATGTTATTCGTTTCCAAATTGTTTCAAAAAACACACAACCCTTTAAAGCTTGAATTAATAAACTACAAAAAGCAAATTAAATTATAAAAATTGGGTTATGGTTTGTCTATGTGTTTAATGTAAAAACTGTTTTGTTTCAAGACGTGAATAATTGTCGATGTATCTTGTGTTATAGTGATTCAAAGTGACAAGAAAAGGCATGATAAACATTATGTTTTTCTCTGTGCCGTTTTATAGCAAACAATAACAAATAGTCTGTTTAATAGGTGCAGTTCATTGTTACAAATCGATGTGCACTGTTGTCCAGAACTGGTCCTTCGATAATTTCCATTGGGTCGCTTTCCCGAAATTGTTGCTTAATTTATTGTATTCGAAGTGTGAAAGTTAAAAATTGCAACGTTACAAGGTGTGCAAGTTAAAGTATAGTTTAGTAATAACTTCGAAATTATAATTAATAATTAAACTAAAAATAATCTTTTTTTTTTCAAAATTTCAAAAAATTAATGATTCTATTTTTTTAATAAAAAAATTATAAATGAACTATACCTTAACTTGCACACCTTTAAACTAACTTGCACACCTTGGGAAGTCACTTTATATTGAAATTTGTTTTGTTTTTTTGACAGACAATTTCATATTTATTTCTTGACTTTTCAAATAACAGTTACTTTTGTTATTAAGAAAAAAAACATAAATTATAATTATTAAATGAATAAAAGTATAAATAACAAGACACAACTTAAAAAAATAGAAACTGATTTGTGAACATATAAAAAATCACTAAAAATACCACCCAATTAATACTACCATAACATTTATAACATAAATACATTTAAATAAAACAAAAAACGAAAAATACCTTTTGTTTGAACTTAAAAACATACATATATTTTTTTATTACAATAAATATTAATAAAATGACAAAATACAATGGTAAAAAGAGACACAATGGCGTTGTATTGATTATTTTTAATTGATAGTATAGACTGCAGAATTTTCTTAAAAAATTATTTAATTTTTTTCTTAAAAACGTGATTTAAACAAGTTGTATACGTTGAATACGAAATTAAACTACCTTAAAGAAGTCAAAACATGCCATATAAAGATGCAATTTCTCGTGTTTAAACATAATATAACTAGTTTATCGTGTCATTTTTTGATAAAAAATACGAAAATCAAAAATAGAAAAATAATTGATATTTAAAGCTAGAATTTAATGATCTAACACAACAGATGAAAGTATGAAAACTGAAGGATTGACTGTTTCTTTTAGCTATATTTGACCAAAAGGAGTATATTCATCAATTCAAGCCCACATTTTACAGGCTTGAAATATTACCAATGTATGCAAATACATTAAAACAATGAAAAGTAATTATTAAATAACAAATTAAAATATCAACTACGCTGAAAATGTATAAAATGTACGAATGACAATTTTAACAAAAAAAATTCGTTCAATTTGGTAATATTAATGTGTGTTTAATTTGCTATCTCTTTGAGGTAACAACAAAAGAAAATGAAATCATATTTATAAAACACAACATTGAAGGCGCCGCTTGCAAATGAGTAACAAAAACTATTCAAAATTATTTTCGGCATTTCACTATTATTAATACCAATTAAGCGCCTTCCTCCTTTGGTCAGTAAAACATTGTTATAATGAAAACACAGGTTGTTTCTTTTTATTGAACATTAACATATTAATCACGTCGAATACAAGCATCCAACGATGGGCCGGCTCATGATGTGTCGGCAAATCATGTATATTTTCATATACATGATTTTTACTATCATAATAACATTGACCTTCACAACAAACCAAGTCACAGTAACAGAAGCGTGTCTTCTGTTAATTTTAAACAAACACGAACAAAATGGGTAAAATTCAATTACTTCTTCGTTACATGTTCACAATGTAACATTTTTGTTTGAGCTTCAAATTTGGGGTGGACTTGATTGACGATCATAGAGATGAATTGTGTAACACCGGCTTCTTAAGTGTCAATGCAAATGTTTGAATTAATTCAAAGTACTCAGAAGCAGTGTGTGATGTTGGAAGTATACAAGTTGACTGCGAAGCAATTAATGTCGATGATGAAGTCTTTGTTAGATACCAAAGACTACCTTACCAACTTTTTACGTCTCCACATGATTTATTCAAATAAAACATCACACACGTTCTTCTTTTTCCTGTTTATTAATGTGTTAGTCCAATTAATCACAGTTGCCGTTGATAGTAATATCATTGCGCGTTTATATGACATTTTCAAGTCAATTTTATTTGTTATCCACAATGACACCCGAAACCCTAAAAGGTATTCCTCCACTGAACTCAAAATTCATAAAATCGCTTGTGTTACAACCGATTGTTCTTTCTATTTTACTCAATTTGCAACCAAATCAATTGGTCTTCATTTCATATAATGCAGCAACGGCATTTTTATATGATTCAGTTCTTTATTAGTAAACATCAGAAAATCTTCAATTAAATTGAACACCTCAATCGCAAAGAATATTAACAGCGACACTGTTGATATCAATATCGACAATATTAAGGGCTCCTTAAAACAGGTTTTCATCAAACATTACTACAAGCAAATCACGAACCAAGCCATCATCTTCTTTGCAAATTCTTCGTTTTGGGAAACCCTCAAGGGTTACCGAAAGACATCTCAACATGATGTCACGACTTCTTCTACGAGCCAGCACAGGGCCTCACTGTTTCCGCGAGTTTATTTGGGCATGGGATGGCAAAAGGTGTCAGATCTCTAGCTAAGAACACTACGCAAGGTGCTGCGTCTTCCGTTTCTGTAATGTCGAAGTCTTTTTCGTTCTTTGTTGTTTCTTTAAGTTTTGATCAGGCGTACATTGACAAGAGAAATGCACACCGCCGTGTGAAAACGACAGGAGAAGGAATGAGAAAGGGGTTTGAGTCGTTTTCAAGTGAGATGTTCGATGGTGTTGCTGGGTTGGTGTATCAGCCTGTTGTTGGTGCCCAGAAAGATGGTGTTAATAACTTTATTGTTGGTGTAGGGAAAGGAGTAGTTGGTGCAATTGATTTAGTTGGTAAGACTTTCGAGAACCAAGGTGTGTCAACTACAAAGTCGTGATGAAATCGTACGACAAAAATGAGTCTTTGTTACTCAAGTTGGCGAGAACCACCAAATTGGATGTGTAATTCGTTTCTTACTTGTCACAGAAGACGTGTGCTTGGTTCTTGGAGAAAACATTTCTCCGTCTATGAAAACAACGACACCAAAGTCTTCAAATACCCATTACTTAAAATCAACAGAACAGTTGATGGGCTCCAAGTCGTTTGTAAAGCAGTGAAGTATATACATTCCTTCAAAGTAAAAGTGGGCATTCTATCGAGTATAGCTTCTCTGAAAAGAACTCAGAATGTGAACAAATTCAATTAAATTCATGTTTACTTCGTTTATAATTTTATAACTATTTACAACTTTATAAATAGTCCAACAATTATTTGGAGTGATTAATAACAAGAGTTTTCAATTGGACATTGCGTCGGAATTACTAATGTTTTACATTACCACTTTTACAAAAAAAATCTTTACTGCGAGTGTTTTTTGAAAAAAGTCCACCTTTCAGCCACTGTTTGTGCGTCCCCATGTCGCCCACGTTCCTTGTCCGTACTGTGTGGACGCGGGTGTGGTTTCCCCGCTTGTGGGGGGGGGGTCAGGGGTAATACACGTCAAGGAAGGACTTGGAGAGTGGGTGAAACGGTGCACAAACAGACTGTTTGAGTGTGTCTTTAACTATAATATATAAAGAAATTATTTGAAACTAAAGAAAACCATTGTTTCAGTTTTTTTACCGTTTTTATGATTTATTACCTAATGCCCAAGTATTTAAACATTTTTTGTGTATTTTTTTGCAAAAGGGACAATGTAAAATACTGACTCTAATTTTTTTTGTATCTATTCAAATAAATAAAAATGTAATTCAAAAGATATTTTCATTTAAATGACTTCTAACATTCATAGTTTATTATAATTCATTCACCCAACATGAAGACTTTCTTGATTAACACGTTCAAAACATAAACGTAATAATAATAAGTTTTTATTTTTTTCTTTTACCTAAACCCTTTTTTGCCTTCATACACATAACTAATTTTTGTTATTTTTATTTATTTTTTTATCAACACAAATTTGAATTGTATATTTTATAGTCACACTTAAAGTGAATGAGTTTGTTTGTGTAAAACAAGAGCAAAGCTTAAAAAAGAAAAATGGTGTCTAATGATGGTTTGATATATTTGGTTGTTTTTTATAAAGAGAATATTGTCATTTGATTATAACGATATTGGTGTTTATATTGTCGTCATATTTGTTAATGTGACTATTTGACATTGTTTGTCATTAAGTGGATTGATGATGTTGCGTTTTTTGTTAAGTGTTGAAACACGATAAAGCGATATGAAATTTCATCCAAAAAGATTATTTTTGATCAATCTTAGGTAATTGAGTTCTCATTTGTTAATTATTTTAAGTAAAATAAAACTGACTATTGGCCGGTTTGGGTTAGAAAGGTATTTTTGAATAAAAAATAATAAAAAATGATTTGGACAATTTCTTTTTTACTTATTTTTTTTCTTAAAAAAAAGTTTTGGGTTGTGAACGTGTTAATAAGTTAGATGGATTATTTATTGTTGTTTTTGTTACAAATAATGTAATAAATTTTAAATAAAAACTTCGCTTTATTTCTTTATTATTCAATATTTCAATTTATAAACTGATGACATTAAAAAATCAATCAAAAGTCGAACATTTTCTTTGACACCTTTTCCTTTTTGTCTTTCTCTCTAATTTGCCCCTTTCCTCTTTTAGTCTCTTTTTCCTCTTGGCTTTCATCATCATCATCTTCTTCTTTTCTATTCTTTCCTTTTCGCCCCTTCATTCCACTTTTAAGACTTTCTGGGCACTCTTTCCCTTTATGACCATACTTCCCACATTTAAAGCACTTTTTCCCTTTATAATTTGGTAACACTACAAATTTGATTTTCTTCCCACCAATCTCTTTCTCCTTAAAATCGTTGATAATCCTATTTGCAGTCTTCTCGTCCTTCACGCCTATTTTTACATCAACTAGTTTGTCATTAAATGTTGGACTCTCCATAACAACGGTCGTCACGTTAAACTTTTCAAAAAGTTTCTTGACATCGTCTTCCGTTTTGTCTTCGGGCAAATTCCGGATGAACGCGGTCTTCGTGTGTTTATTCGAAAACGTTACACGGACTTTTTTCCCATCGACGAAAGTTCCATTCACATCGTCGCACGCTTTACTCGAGTCTTCCGCATTCGAAAAAGTCAACACAAATTGTTTTTGCGCTTTGAACTTATTTTTGTCTGGTGTTTCATACTCAAAGTAGATAGGTTTGTACTGTTTAAATAGATCGGAAAGCTCCTTCTTTTCCATTTCGGCGCCTCGATATCGAAAACTTAAACAAACAGGGTCACTCATCAATGATTTTTAGTGAATAAGTTCCTTCTTCTTTGAGTTTGGATTCTTTTATTTTGAACAATACTTAGGGTTACTTTGTTAAGTATGCTGTAATACTGTATTAAAACATATTAATAAATATAATACCTTAAAATATAATAATTAAATAATATGGATTTGAATGTGTACTATATATTTATTATAATAAAACCATTATAAATTATAAAAAATGGAAAAGGTGTTTCTCTATTATTACTAAAGTTAATTAATTAATATTATTCAAATAATAAAAATATTTAATTAATATTATATTAAAAAACAATTAAAAAAAATCACTCATTAAGTCACTTTTTCAAATTTGACTTTTTCTGTTTTTTCATTTGTTTCAGTCCCACCTCTGCATTTTTGAGGAGATTTTCAGCTTCTTCTTCATTCTCTTCACTTTCATTCGTAATTTTAACTTTTTCTTGCGCCTTCTCTGCATATTTCTGTTTTCTTTCTTCTCTTCTTTCATTTTCCAGTCTTTGTTTTCTTTCATAATATGTTTCGTCCTTGTACTTATCTTTCTCGGGGCATACCAAACTGATGTGTCCTGTCTTGCCACACAAGAAACACTTTTTATCTTTAACTTCAAATTTGATAACTTCGACGATCTCTCCATCGATTACTTTCCCATTGTATTCATCGATAAATTTTTCAGCCGTCTTCTCATCTTTCAAGCCAACTTTAATGTTACACCTTTTTTGGTCTAATAAAGGCTGAACAAATGTGACACACACCGGCTTAAATTCAATGAGAAACTTCTCAACTTCTTCTTGTGTTTTGGTGGTGGGGATACGGCCTAAAATAAGACACTTATTGTTTTTCTTGTCTTTTGCACAGAAGAGACGTCTGCCATCAAACACGCGAGCGTGAGATAACTCTGCTATGGCACTGTCGACCTCTTTCTCAGTTCGAAATTCGACTTTGTAATCATTACGAGGTTTCAAGTAAACTTGCTCCGGGGAAATTACATCGAAGAAGGTGAATTCAAAGCCACTGAAATCATTTTGGATCTCGGCCGTTGTCTTGTTTGTTTTGTACAACACACGAACACAGACAGGATTGCTCATTACTGATTTTTATGTTCAAAAATACTTTTATTTGGTATAATATTTAATCAAAAAAATAAATTGGTTATATTAAAATTATTATTATAAATAATTTAGTTTAGTTTTTTATAATTTAAAAGTATGATAAAGTAATTTATTTTTTAAAATATTTTAGGGTTTAGATTCTTGGAATTTGTTTTTATTTATTACTATTATCATTTCGATATTATATGTTACTATAATTTGTTATAAATTTTATTAATATTTATCAATTTTATTATTTGGATAAATCTTTGCCAAATAAATACAAACTTTAATATAATTTACTATTTTTATTAATTGTTTTTAACTATTTGAATTTTTTTTATAAATAGAAAAATAATCATACATTATAATTATTATAATTATCAAAAATACTAAAACAAATTTACACAAAAAACAACACTTAACTTAATAAAAAAGAAGAAATAATAGTCAGCACATCAAAATTCATCAATATACACAAATTTCCATTTAAGACGTATGACTGGATGCGGTTTTTTCAAAATCAAATATACAGTTGATCAAAAAAGTTAGAGACCAAATATTTAAAGAGGTGGAATAAATAAAGTGCATCACAAAATGGTCGTACAGCTTTTGAAACAAATTATTTACACTAAAGATTCACTTTAAAAACCGATTTTTTGCAAATTCACAGAAGTAATAGAATGTTAAGAACGCTTCGACGGTTAAATTTGTGTTTCTTACATCAAACATAAATACCATATTAATAAATATTGGTAATTAACTAATTATTTATAGCTTAAAATGTTCAATAAAACCATCTAAAATAACCACACACATAATTTAAGTTGTTCCCACTCATTTTTTATCATAATAATTCTCCGCGTCTTAAATTTGAACTGAAAGACGGCTTGTAAAACATTCTGTCACCACCGAGTGAGGTTCATTTATGAATTCTTTTATATAGCGCTCACGTTTTTTATAATACATTCTGTACTCGTTTTCATCTTTTGTTGTCTCTTTGTCTGAAGCCATTCGTGTTTTACAAAATCACAACTAAAAAGGCAGAAATACAGTTTTTGTAATTCGCAGCTTCCACTCCAAATTTCTCATGGTTAGTCCCAGCTTTCTTTCCAGAGATAAAGGCGGCACCAGCAAAATACTGTTGTTAAACACTCGCACAAGCTATCCACTCTATTTTCTTGTCTTGTAAGTTCTCGTTTGGGCCAAGGTAAATTGGCTCGAGGCGATTATAATAATAAATGATGTTCTTTTCATTATTGCGTCGTCTTTCATGACAATGAGCAATAGATACCAGTATTTATCAAGTCGCATTGATTTTCTAAGTCTTCTATTATCACGCAGAAATCCCCAACACGCTGGCCTGACGGTTTGAATTTGACTTCAAAAGCCTTTGTGATTTTTTTCGTCAAATTGGGATGGAAAGTTAGGGGGGAAGGAAAAAATAATAAAGAAAAAATACTTGAGACAAAATACTCCAGAAAATAATAATTATTTCAATAAAAGTTAAAAATTAAAATTTAGAACAAAAATGTAATAATTTTAAATAAATATTATAATAAATAATTTATAATATACATATACAAATAAAATAATTGTAAATTATTTTTAAACAATAGTTATAAAAACATCAAACAATTGGATTTTATTATAATGTTTTTTTTTAAAAAATTGATATTTTTCAAATATTTTTTTAACTAAGCTATGATAATTATAATATACAAAATTATACTTGTAGTTGATTATCGTTTTTTAAAAATACTATACATATTTAATACATTATTAAATACTAATTGGGTTTTTTATAAAATGAAACCCCAAAAATCAAATGACTGAACCACGAGTAGAAACCTTTATAAGTCAGAAAAAACACAATGTGGTTTAAAATTACCTCTGCCAATAGTTGATGGTTATTCTTTTGTTCCAACTGGATTTGAAAGAAAAACTTTCCGTTGTAAAACAAAGGGGTGTTTGGTTTGTGTGGACGTGCTTGAGTCTGTTGGTATTGGAGAAAACGAAGTGTTTACAAAAGTTAAATACAAAAATGGTTCAGTTCATATTCATGATAAAAATGTTACACGTGAAAAAAAAGAAGAAAGA